CTTGGCAAGTCACTTAACCCTATTGCCTAGCAAAAAAGAAAAAAAAAATAAAGAAAGAAACTAGAAGCCAGGTTCTGATTTCCTTGAGAAAATAGAATGACCTGAGGACCTCGAGATAATTTAACAAAAAAATGGTCATTTTTTTCCCCCTTCCAGTAGGATGTAAACTCCCTGAGGGAAGGAATATTTTTCCTCATTTTGATCTTTGAATTCTCAGAAGAATCAAGCAATAAATCAACAATATTTACTCAGCACCCACACACCAGGCAGTATGCTAGGTGCTAGAAATGCAGAGACAAAATCAAAATAGTCTCTGGATTATTTCAAGGACTTTCTAATGTAGCTGGGAGGGACAACATGTGGGTACATATAGGTAGGTATATATAAGACAAAAATAAAAGGGGAAGGAACTAGCAGCTGGTGGGGGGCTTCATCAAGAGATATATAATTTATAGGTGCAAGGAGTTGATTGACTTTATTTACCCTGTCCCCACATCTGGAATGTTATGTTTGGTTTTGGATATCACATTATGGATAAGCCAGAGATCATCCGATGGAAGCAACCAGGAAGTTTAAAGACTCCCACTTTTGTATTAATGAGGACTGGTTAAAGTAGCCAAGCATATGTATGTAGCCTGGAAAGGCTGGAAGGAAGTGAAGTGAAGTAACAGCTATCTTTGCTGAAAAAGCAAATCCTAGAAGAGGGATTAGATTACACTTCTTCTGCCTGGCCCCAGAGGGCAGTATTGTATAGTGGAAAGAGAGCTGCATTTGGCATCAGATCTGGGTTTGAATCCCAGCTGTGTCTCTATCACATCAGGCTCTCGAGGGTTCAGTTTCCTTATATGTCAAATGAGGGGGCTGGATAAGATGACTTCTAGGATCCATTCATCTTTAAATCTATGAGCCTATGGCAGAACTAGTAGGTCAATGAAATTTGAAAAGAAGTGAATTTAGGTTTAATGTCAAAAAGGAAAAAAGAAAACCTTCCTAATGATTATAATTACACAAAAAAAAAAAAATGGAATGGGCTGCCCCAGGATGTAGTGGGCTCATCCACACTGAAGGTTTTCAAAGGCTGAATGGTCTCTGGTCAAATGTATTTTAGTAGAGATCCTTTGGAGGATATGGCTTAGACTAGACAGCTGCTATCAGTCAATTAGTTACAAGCACTTACCTACTATGTGCTGGGCACCATACTATATTCCTAAAAGAAAGTCCCTTCCAAATCTAAAATTCTGTGATTCTCTTAGTTGCCTAAGTGAAGGGAACTCCTGAGCAAAGGAGTGGAGATGAGAATGAAAAAATTGTTCTTAGAAAATAATGACATCAATTTGCTAACTTGGAAAAGCAATATTTGTTTGGCAAGTGGAGGGATTTTATTTTATTTTCCTTCTTCAATTTTCAGAAAGAAAACAGACTGAATGGATATATTTGGAAGAAGAATAAAAAGTGAGCAACAGAGTAGTCTGAGGAACTTGGTTCTTGATCAAAACATTTGGGTGTGCTCAAACAGTCACATCAAGGCAATCTTGCCCCATTGCCCTTTCATGTTGTTGACTTTGTTCAACTCTTCCTTCCTTGCTCAAAAGATAAAAAAAAAAAAAGCCAGGATTTACTCAGGTGATCACATAGCATGGATTCCAAAGTGCTGCCATAACCAACTGATATTCTTTAAGTATAATAGCTTTAAGCTATTTATGATTTGTTTTTTCAAAATGACCTTTGGGAAGAAACTGTCTCTGCCACGTGTCCATTTTCTCCATGGGTAAATGCTCCTATTCTTCTTTCTCATTTATTTGGTGCTGTTAATAATCCAGGCTATGAAACTGCAATTGGCACCAAGGTAAATCTAAGACACATAGCCATTCAGTGTCAAAAGGGGACATTAGAGATCATCTTATCCAACCACTTCATTAGAAAGATAAACTAATGCCCAGAGAAGGGAAGTGATTTGCCCAAGGACAATGCATTGACAAAGTCAGTACTAGAACCCAGGTATCCCAACCCCTATTCTTGTGCCCACACCAAGTTCTTTTTTATTATTTCAACAAGATGACATTTTTTTGGCCAAAGTGATATACCCTGAATGACAAAGTCCCTTTCAAGGAGCAATGCTCTATTTATTTTGGTGGGGGTGATGAGAGCATAACATTCAATAATTATTTTATCTATTATGTCCTTGTAGAGAACTGAAACATTCCAGTTGTAGGGCATCCCTGGTGGAGTTCAGAGCCCTGGGCAAGCTATACTATATGCATACCTCCTCCAACAATTATTCTAGGAGAAATTAAAAACAAATGAATATTTAGGACAGCCTCTTTGGAGAAAAGAAATCAGAATAGAGCGGAATGCAGAGTGTGTTTGTAGAATGGAGGAGAAAGTGTCTTTGGTGGTGGTAGAGGAAGGAAGATGACTGGATTGTTCTGAATTTCAGGCCTTTTTAGCACACTAGGGAAGCCACCTTTTTCTTCTCTTTGAACTACCTCCCTGAGGCCCTGTTTCTAGTGAGCATCAGAATATACTGGAACGATAGACAAGAAAATCAGGAGACTTGGATTGAAGTATTTGCTCTACTACCAGGATTGTGACTTTCAGCAAGTCACTTCTTCAACAAACATTAACTATGTATGAGGCATAGTAGTAGATTCAAGGATAAGAAGAAAAGGTGAAAGAGTTCCTACTATCAAGGAGCTTACATTCTACTGGAGGAATGTCCTGAGAGAAGTAATACAAAGTACAGTCCAAAGTAATTTGAGGAGGGAGCAAACAGTGGTAATTGGAGGGATCAGGAGGACTTTGTGGAGGAGATGGCACCTGAGCTAAGACTTGCAGGAGGAAAGGGATTCTTAGAGATGACATAAGGTGGGAGTAAATGTGGCAGGAGATGGAAAAGTAGAATTTGGCAAATAAAAAATAGACCAATCTGTAAAGTCATTGCAAAGGCACAATATGAAATAAGGAAGAAAGAAAGGTCAGCTGGGGGCAGATTATGACTCCACCCCTAAATGTCAGGCTAAGAAGTTTCTATTTTATTTGAGAAGAAAAGTAATTCAGAGAAGCCACTTGGCTTCTCTTGCTCTCAGTTTCCTTGACTATAAAATAAAAAAGTTCAACTAAATTTTCTTTAAGGTCTCTTTCTTATCAATTAACTTTTAATGAAAGCACTGTATTAAGGCAGTCCAAGGAAAATAAAAGAAACTGAAAATATCATCTCTGACCTTGAAGAGAAGAGGGAAGGGAATAAGCACTGATATAGCACCTACTATGTGCTAAGCGCTTTTGCAAATATTACTTCATTTGATCCTTATGATAACCCTGGGAGGTAGGGACTATTATTATTCCCATTTTACAGTTGAGGAAACTGAGGTGAACAGAGGTTAAGTGACTTCTCCAGGGTCACACAGCTAGTAAGTGTCTGAGGCTATATTTTGCCTCAGTTCTTCCTAACTCCAGGCTACTGCTCTTTCCACTGTGCTGCTAACTGTCTCTAAAGGAGACTTCATTGAGGAGATTCCATTCCCATGAGGAACACCAAATCAATACTTAGTCTAACTCTCAGATTCTATGACTCTGGGATGGTGCTGCCTTGCAACAGCCTCTGAAGAAATAACCTTTTGAGTTTGAAGTCTCAGATCTAAGGAAAAATGTTACTGGAAAATATCTTCTATTTTGAACAGTGTAATGGATTTTGTGAGAAAACTTCAGACAGGAGAACATTCCCTTCTCTGGTTCATTTTTTTTTTCATCTGTAAAATAACATGGTCAGATTAGGTGCTCACCAAGGTCCCTTCCACCTCTAATGATCTATGAATTCATAGATAAAGGACTCAAGTGACTTTGGTGAAATGTCACATTAGGAAAAGTTCCCAAGATATTCAATAAGATTTGGCATATCAGAAAAGGGAGGCAAGATATGTGATAAGTGTCATTTGAACTGGAGCCCACCAGCCTCAAAAAAAATAGCAATAATAAGTTTTTAAATGGGCATCTCTTCAACAATTTATATTGGATTTCAATGCAGTTAGACAAATGGTTGAGATTACAGAGAGATATGTCAACCAGCTCTACAATGGAATGGGTCCCAAAACCACTCATTCTCCTAGTTGTCCTAATTTCATATATACATATATATAATTTCATTATAATGAAATTGCATTTCACACATTTAAATTCCACATTGCACGCCAATGCACATATTTACAGTTATTTTACACATACAACATAATACTCATTCAGTTACTGTTTAGCCAAGGCTGAAGAAATTTATTCCCACATGTTCATATAGACAGAATGTCTTAGGCATCATTGTCCTTTACCTCCTTTGTCAAACACAAAAGTCCGTCTAATACTCACATTGACTATGTCATATGCAAAAGATAGCTTGAATATCCAATCCAATTCAATGTCAGAATTTCTTAGAACATCCTGAAAAACATAATTATTCAAGAGAACATTCTCCTGTGACTCAGGCTAGAAATAAAATGGAAGGTCTTACTTCCTAGAATATATCTCCAACACGGATCTCTTTGTACATCTAGGTACATGCATATACATACATAATGTACTTATACACACACATAGGTATATGCATCTATATATGTATGTAAAATTTAGGTCAGAAGTAACAGAATCAGACTTTTTTGGATATTTTATTTTCAAAAGAGTCATAATACAGAGCAAAAAAGTACTACATTGGAGTTACAAGGAACAACATTTCATTTTGAGACCTATTAGTAGTGTGACCCGAGATTGACTAACTATATGAGTATTGTCATATCATTTAACCACTTTAAATGTCATTTTCCTTATCTACACAATTATAATAACAATATATCCCTTACCAAGCACACAGGGTTATTGTGAAGAAAGTGCTTAGTAAACAATGAAGTACCACATAAAGATAAACTATTATTTTAATTCTAAATCTGGAACCAGAAACTTTTCTGGGGAATGGAAAAGCTATAAATTTGACCATATACAATGAGATTAAGTCATTTTGATTTTAAGGACACTTCCTCATTCCTAGAATGTACACAGGCTGTGGTATGGGCCTTGAAAGGAAATCAAGAATTGACTTTGATACCTTACCCCAAAGATGAAACCAAATTCAGGCTATTTCTAGACCTAAACAAATGAATCAGGGCCTTGGCAGTTAACCTTTAAACTTGACCCATGTAAACAACTAAACAGATAACTCTAATTCTATTATTCAATCAGAGAGAGAGGGGGAGAGAGTAAATACCTAAAATGACCTGGCCAGATCCTGAAAATTTTCCTTGCTGGAAGCTACTAATCCCCATTGAAGGACCATGATTATCTCACCTTCAGACTTCCTTTCCTGCAGTACTGAATGACAAGACAGATGTTGGGTGGCTCACTGCAAATACCAAAGAAGGGAACCAGATTTTCATGCTTTAATTCACACATCTGAAAGCAAAGAAATGGTAGCAGCAGGGAAAGTTACATTGGACATATAAAAAATATAATAATAATAATAATAATAAACAACTCACATTTACATGTCATCTTATTTACCAGACACTTACCTCATAATAAGCACGTGAAGTGGTAATATAAATATTATTATTCCCATTTTACAGATGGGGCATCTAGGTGGCACAGTGGATAGAGTGCCAGTCCTGAAGTTAGGAAGACTCATCTTTCTGAATTCAAATCTGGCCTCAGACACTCACTAGCTATGCTATGTAACCCTGACAAAACATTTAACCCTGTTTACCTCAGTTTCTTCATCTGTAAAATGAGCTGGAAAAGGAAATGGCAAACCATTCTAGTATCTTTGCCAAGAAAACCCCAAATGGGGTCACAGAAAGTCAGACATGACTGAAAACAACTGAACAACAACAGATGAAGCAATGGATGCTAAGAAAGGTTAAGTGACTTGCCTGTGATTACAATTCAGCAACTTCAGAAGCAAAATTAGCTATCAGGCCCCACTACTCCAAATTTGGTGCTTTTTCTTCTGTTACTTGGCATGATTTACTCAAGAAGAAGAAAGTGAAAACTTCTCCCAACAGAAATAGGTACCTATTTGCTTGGTATTCAATCAGTAATCACACATCCTAGAGGCAGAAGATGGATTCCATGGCCTCTGAATGTTTTTCTAAGCCTTCCTTTGCCCCTCTAATCTGTTTCAATGATTTTTATTTTTATTTAATAGATAGAACCACATAAATAATAAGCAAAAAGAACCTATCATGTTTGACTTCCTGTAATATTTTACAGCTATTTTGTTTGACAATGCTTTTGATGATCAGCACCAATGGAAGGCCAGTGATTCTCAAAGGGCATGTCACAGCATGCTAGTGTGCCATGGATTTCTTCTAGGTTTTCTACAAATTATATGGAACTTAGACTTGTAATTACATGTGGGGGGGGGACTCCTTTGAATTATATGGAACTTAAGCTCATGGATGAGTCTCCTAGTGTGCCCTGATTCCTTGTAGCAAAGGACAATACTGTGCTATAAGCAAGCAAAGTTTGACAACCTTTGGCATAGATGTAGGGTGAGGAGCCAGGACTGGCAAATCCTAATATGTGCAAAAGACAAGATAAAGAGGGGCCTACCATAGATACTGGAATTAGAAGGAAGGATGAAAAGAGAAAAGGGAGGGAGGGAAGGAAGAAAGGTAGAAGAGAAGGAAGGGCGGACTAGATAATCTCTAGAATCCACAGTAATCAAAAGAGTACCCAAACAGGCAGCAGGAAACCAGAAAGAAGCCTTAAAAGTAGTATTATAAGGCAGAAGGGTCTAAAACTGGAGGTCAGAGGCTAGAGATTCAATAACGGAATAGTAACTAGCAATTTTGGCTTCCAGGACAAAGCATACTTGAAACAAATGGCACAAAATGCACCGTCAAATCAAATACTCAGGAACAACAATCATTTGGGCAGGGGAAGAAATGCCAGTTCATTAATCCACGTAGAATAAACAGAGATGCCCTTTGTGTGTGGTGGGTTGGGGATAGGGGTGGAATCAGGGTGGGGTTGGGCTTTAGAGAAGTTCGTCTGGGGTTCTAGGAGGCAGCAGCCAGTCACAACTGTTCCAAACTGTGTTAAGTGAGAACATTACCTGGAGGTACTTTTGACTAAAGGGAAGGGTGGGCAATGCAAGGGCAGAGAAGAAGGTATTGAATCAGTTCAATTTAGCAGGGAAAGACTTGGATATAGAGGCAGGAGACCTAGTTCTAGTTTTAACCCTTCCGCTAACCATTTGTGGCATTTTAGGTAAGTTATTTCACCACTCTGGGCTTCAATTGACAAAAATCCTAAATTCTTGATACATCAATGTATAAAATGAGAGAGTATTGGACAAAATGATTTCTAAGGCCCTTCTAACTTGAGCATTCTACTATTCTATGAGCAGTGGTTCCTGCTGAATGAATTCCAGTTACAAGTCATTGTAGCAATGAATGTTACAAGTTCTTCCTGGCATACAGTAGATGCTTAATAAATGTTTGTTGATCAAATGATAGCAAGAGCAGAAAGTCAAGTCTTACCAGCTGTATTTCTCGCAGAATAGATGGCTTCCTAAAGCAGGATTCCTTTTCATTTTCAATATATCGAATGGCAACATGATTGCCCTGGAATCAGAGAGAGAAAAGGGGTTTTCTTAAGCCAGGAATATGAGACAGAAGGAAGCATTGCAGTAGAGTAAGAAGAGGTGCAGCCGAGCAGGAGATTGCACAGGTTTGCCCCCTGTCTAACAACACACAGAACTGTTAGCTAAGAATCACCATCAGCTTCACCGTTCAAACCACTCACAGAACATTTTGATACCATCCACCGAGTCTGAGCCTTAACAACTGCTTGATTAGGCAACCAAAAGATATTTATCAAGTATCTACTATCTTCTAGGCACTGGGAGAGGATACAAAAAAAGTATAGGAAATAGGGAAGTAGAGTGAAAAGAGCACCAAACTTACTAGCCACATGACCTTGGACAAATCATTTAATTTATCTGAACTTTAGGTTCCCAGTCTATAAAATGGGGATAGTCACATCTGCCTTACTTGTCTAATGGAGTTATTTTAAAAATCATGTGAGATAATATATAATAGATATATACACATATAAATTTGTTATATGTGTGCATATAGATATATATGTATTTGAGAGACAGAAAAAGAGAGAGAGAGAGAACAAAAGGGGAGGTGGAATTTTAAAATAGTTGTTGAATGAAAGAATTCAACACCAAAGGCAAAGGAGCAACACTTTACAAGCAGTAATATGACTGTATGAAAGCTACATGGGCAAGAATTCTCTCCACAAAGGATTTGTTTGATGAAGAGTATAGCAACTGCTATAAATATTTGGGAGTTCTAATAAACTCAAAAACTTTTTTAAAAATCCCTTTCTGTAAGAAATGCTGACTTCAAACACTGATTTTGAGACACTTTCCATATGAAAATATATGTCTGCTACCTCCTTCCTTTTCCTCTGCATAACATATTATACTTTCTAACCCCTTCTTCCTCAATTTGAAGAGAAAAATATGTATTTTTCTCTGTATAATTTTTCCCCTTGTGGATAGTTATCCATGCCAGGCCTGAACTCCTGAAGACATGGTAACCACAGTTGTTAGCAGTAGATTGCATCCCTCTGAGGGTTTGAAAAGAATAGCTAGACACCCAGTCCATCAAGGTAGAAGTTATATTCTCAGAATGTAAAAGTGACCAAGGCAGTAATACTGCTTCAATAGCAATTATATTTCTTTCCATTTTGTCGATAAAATATTTGCAACACTCATTTCCCTCCCTAGAAATACATCTATAAAATGGAGGTAATAATACTTGCTGAAGAAGGCGGGGTCCGTAGCTCATGTAATGCTTTATACAATTCAGAGTGCCTTCCCAGCATGACAAAATGCAAAAGCTAAAAGTGGATGGGGTCAGAAAAATGCAGTCAGGACCAAACTCATCAAATCTGTACCTGGTAAAGGCCCACAGTGGTATAGAAGGCTTCTTCTTCTTGCTTGTCCTTGAAGTCTGAGTTCAGATTGCTTGAAGTTATCATGCTTGAGCTACAGCTTTCATTTCTTCTAGACACAGGTGTGCCCCTCTGTGAGTGCTGCAAGGAAGATTCAGGGTAGTAAAATGATTTTGCAAAGTAGGTCTGAACCCTTCCTGGCTTCTCTGGGGCCAGGGAAATCTCCGCCCTGAACTATGGGTGTGAGAGATACAAATAAACCAACCAAGGAGACTCTGATAAACATCTCCTGTGTATCAAGCAAGGGGAACAGAAGCAAAAAAAAGAAAAAGGAAGAAAGAAGGAGGCAGGGAAAGAAGGAAGGAAGGAAGGAATTCCCTCAAGGACTCTGTGTGTGTATTTGGGTGATACACACACACACACACACACACACACACACACACAATTTATATTACATACATAAAACATATGTTAAATATCTGCTATGTGCAATGCATTCTGATACTTTTCTGTACCAACTCTAGCACCTAACAGATGTCTAGGTTAATAGTAGACAGTATCTCCTTACTTATCCTTTGATCTTGATTAAAAAATTTTTTAAAAAATCATAAAATCTCAGAGTTGGAAGAGACCTATAAAAATCATCTACTCCAATCTCCTACCCAATGCCAAGAAATCTCTTCTCCCAGTTACAAGAAATGTATTCTCTCATGAGGCAAACCATTCTATTTTTAGACCATTCTAATTGTTTAAAAAGATTTTCCTTAAACTGAGCTGAAAACTGTTTCCATGAGCTTTTTCCCTGTTGACAGAGCCATACCTAGGAATCATTGGGTTTGGAGAAAATTCATTGGGCATGGGGAAATTGTGGCAGCACAGTAGGACAATTTAATTGACAAGTGCAGTCATGCTAGGAAATGGAGTGAACCTATGGCCCCTAGAGTTTGATTGGGGCCTAAGATGAACAACATCAAATGACCTGGGGGACACACAGTAGTGGCCCAAGAAGCAAGTCATGGGGACAGCACCATGGGGATGAATCTCACCCTCTCACTGATTCCTCCCCCTAGTAAATGCACTCCTGGTGCCTGGGGTAAAATTCCAGGCAATTTGCATCACAGCCTGTTGATACCAGTTTTGCACCCACTCCCTACCCCCACCCGCAGCCACACAGAGTAAGTCTACTTGCTCTTCCACATGACAGTTCTTCAATTAAGTTAAGCCAACCATCACGTCTTCCCTTCTCCAGATTAAACATCTCCAATCTCTTCAAACTGTTCCTTAGGAGAAATAATTTCCTGACCCTTGACCATCTTGGTCACTATCCTTTAAACCTGCCTTTAATTTGTCAATCTCTTAAAATATGGCACTCAGAACAAAGCACGATGCTCAAACATGCTATTTCCAGTGCAAAGTATCACCTCTTGTAACCAAGGCACTACAATTCTATTGAGAGAAACTAGGCTGGTCTCATACCAATCATACTACTAGTTCACATTGAGCTTTAATTCAATTTAGCTCAACAAATATTTACTGAGCACGTGCACAGTGTTCAGCATAATACTTTTCATTATACTGGGCACTAAGAGATGTAATATAAATAAAAGGAGGACAGTTCTTTTTTATAAACTGCTATCAAGCCAGATCTCTGTCATGTACTTTTACAATTGGATTTTAAAATATCAGTCCAGAACTTGGCCTTTTTCCTTGTTAAATTCAATTTTTCTCCATCTTATTAGGTACCCCTTCCAGTTGATTTTACTGCACTGCAGTTGTTATTTAATGAACAATGGCTAGTGGCTCAAGTGGCCAAAGAAAGTGGACATGATCCTGAACAAGCAAAAAAACAACTAGACACAGCCTGAGAACAGTTTATTTTCTTGGCAGCATATGGCCCAGGACATAAAACTGCACATCATAGGGATTTAATGGGGTTCTTTACATATGAATCAACATGGCTCTTATTTAAAAACTAGGTAGCTCAGTGGATGCCTTGGAGCCAATCCAATACCCTAGACTATGACAAATGAACAATCATAACAATTACCCATATGCCTAATTGTACCTTCTTAAGGGGCAAGATGATGATATCCTCATAGTTGATTTTCCACCAAGTATTATTATGCGGTACTAATAGGTTTTTTTTCTGCATCTTTAAAAAAGATGCAATGCTGGCAGATCCAAAGACTGTTACCAGGATGATGAGAGTCATCACAATTATCATGGTGACACCTGGATGAAGAAGACGTCCAATCGCTCAGGACTATAAAATGTCATAGCTAAGCAGGTACACGTAGAGGGTAAAATATTCACATACAGTGATATAAGTAATGGGCCAGTCAATAAACATTTTTTAAGTATTTACTTTGTACCAAGTACTGTGCTAAGCACTGAGAATGATGGAGAATAATTTGTTGCTTATTACTGGAGTTTAAAGGGACCTCAGAGGTTATCTTATCTGCCCCCTACTAGAAGTGGCTACTACTGCCCCCTACCCTACTACAGGTACCCTTCCACTATACTCCCTCAAGAGCGGCTATTTAACTTCTTCAATACCTCTATTAACAAGGAGTTCACTATCATGCAAGGAAGACTAATCCATTTCTAAGAAAACATATATTTAAGAATCTGCAAGGAATAGAAGCACCAAGTTACAATAGGTGGAAGTGATGAGACAGGTTTCCTGCTCTTAAGAAGCTTGCAAATTATGTTCATATATAGGAACAGATCCAGGTAGATTGTGAAATGGGAAAAAATCATCTGCAGTGTACCCAACCTCTATTTTCTCCAAGTTTTTTCTTCATTGCATTCATATCCTTATCTTCCTTCATACCTGTTCTCAATAAAGATTCTGCTTGTACCTTTGTGTGAATTATGATTAGTAACATTAACTCATATTTACATTAACCATGCATCTTGTGTGTAGAAGATAGTACAAGGCTGTTTTTGTTTTTCATTTTTTTACATTTGAAAGATGAGGAAACAGAAGGTCAGAGGTATCAAGTGATTTTCCAAGTCACATGGTAAATGTCAATGTGTCATATGTAGATATATTTGCATAACTAAGCTCAAATGACATAATGATTTATTTATCTTCATTCCACGAATCTCAAGCTTATCTGTGGAGCTATATGGGAGGGGGAAGCAAGGGAGATCTTGCTAAAACAATTGATATCAGACCCTAAAGATTGCAGGTCTATTTCAAGTAAACATATGATTAGCTCTGTTTGTATTATTGCATTTACACAAATCTAATGATCTCTTGGTTTAAAATCAGTCAGGTGCTAAAAATTTTGTGAAAAAAATACTAATACCTAGAAAATTCTCCTGAATTATTCATCTGAGATTCTTGGTTTGATCTGATTTCTTCTTGTCTCTAGGTGTACTTATTAACTTCTCCTGTCAAATAGGATGACAGGGGTGAAATAAAAAGCAAAACTTTTTCTGAGAAGAATTAACTTTCAAAGCAAGTGCAATATGCTCTTTTAGGATGAAGGAACAACAAGAGTTCAGTCCTGGGCTTCAGCTATAGAAAAGTAAGTTTCCTCGAATAAAATGATTAAACCAAGATGAAGCCTCCTGATCACATCAAATTCAGAAGGTACATGGTTCCTTTTCTACAGCCATAACTGAGGTGGTGTTGCAGTTTGGGGTGATGGGAACCCTGAAACGCAAGGGTACAGAGGGTCTGCCTCAAAAGAATTTGACCACTCAAGCCTTATTTCGGAGTAGCCAGGTTTTATTATAACACTAGTTAGGCAGGCAAGATTCTTAGTAAATCTGCATTATTGTATCGCCAATGGAAGCAGCAGAGATTCCTAACAAATCTGTGCAATTTAATGGGAGGAAGATGTGTGCTTACATACAAGAAAAGACAGTGAGAAGATCTGTATGGGATTAAGGGGTGGCAAATGGCCTGGGGTGGGCCAGTTGCAGACAATGAAAGGAGTTAAGTGGTCCTGTTTAGGTCAGAGGGCCACAATGAAAGGACAGTTAAAAGGATTATTGAGTGGGCTAGGATAGACCAGATGTCTCAGGCAAACACCAGGGACTGGGTTCAGGAGCTAGGTTGTGTGGGCAAGTTCAGGTTCCAGGTTTCATCACTCCATCAGTGGGGTGCACTAGAATGCCAAAATTTAGAAGATAGAATTAGTGCTTGTACTCCTTTAACAACTAAGCTTAGCACTTAGTTGGCAAAAATAATTAGTTAAAATCGGAAGCTTATTTCCCCCTCTAATCTCTGCAAGATAAATTCTTACTGTACTGGGCCCTCCCTACTCAGTGTTGCAGAAACTCTGTCTCCTTGCCACAGGATCTTGTACATCAAGGTCTCTCCTAGAAGTCTCCCCTGCCTTTAGACAGAACTGAGATAAATATTTGCCTCAGCTCTGTCCTTTTCTGGTTCCCTTCCCTTCAGAACTGCACTCTTCCTTCTCACAGAGCAAAGATACTTACCTATAAATGTAGATTGACAGTGTTCATTAGAAAAGCCACAGGCAGGTTTGTCTTTGGGAAGAGACCCATGGGGCCAGCTGTCATTGGAGAAGTTTCCTATGGGGCTAGTAGGCAAACACAGAGTAGATCGTCAGTGCCTACTCAGACTTTTCATTCCTTGGGGGCAGCTGGACCAAATGAACCCCTATTTTGATTTGTGAACCATTTCCTAGGATCTCTGAATAAATCTTAGCTCTTCAAGAGGGACACCACCTGAAAAAGCTTCCAAGTTGACATTCAAGGTCTTACATTCATTCAATTCAATAAATATTTATGCTTACTGTGTGCAAAACACAATGCTGGAGATACCAAGACAAAAACAGAAACAATCCCTGCCCTTAGGGAGCTTGCATTCTACTGGGGGGATAAGTAACAGGTAAATAGAGAAATAAAACAAGGTTATTTGAGGAGGGACAAAGTACAAAACAATTGTAGGGTTCAGGGAAGATGGTGCTTGAGCTGAGCCCTGAAGGAGAGGCAGAGCTGAAAGCGAAGTAAATTCTTAGCTTGGGAAATGGCTTCTGCAAACACACAGAGATGGGAGATGGATTTTTGAATTTTGAGAACAATCAAAGATATAGTTTTGCTGAAATGTAGAAGGCAAGGAGAGGAGTAGGAGCTAGATTGCAGAGGCCATTAAATGCCAGGACTGAGCAGCTTGTATTTTAGAAAGAAAGAGGGAAGAAAGGAAGGAAAGAAAGAAAGAAAGAAAGAAAGAAAGAAAGAAAGAAAGAAAGAAAGAAAGAAAGAAAGAAAGAAAGAAAGAAAGAAAGAAAGAAAGAAAGAAAGAAAGAAAGAAAGAAAGAAAGAAA